GAGGAAATGTGCTTTCTGAATTTGGAGGCACATCATTTCACAGTTTAGCCTATTCATCACCACTGCCTCAAAATCCAACTTGGAGTACCATGCATGACATTTCTGCCTCTTCTCTGCCAGTTCAGCTTGGACAGAGAGACCACCAGATAGGAAAAGTATTTGTATGTACTGAGGCCAATGGTGTGAATAATACAGATGCATCCAAGTTAAATAATTTGGTTCCTAACATGACAAATTTAACTCCTAGCTCGGAGGACTACTTCGCAGAATTGACAAGCACTTTGTTTGACTTTTCAAATGAGGAAGAACAGCTTTTCATGGATGCTGATGGAAATGACCTGATAGAAAAGTCTTATATCCATAGTTTCAGTTCACTTCTAGATTCTCCTAATAAGAATGATTTGCCCAACATTGTCCAAGAGGCTCCCGATGCACATTTTACTCTTACTAGTGGTGCACATAGTGAAGAGTCAGGGAAGAAGGAGCTGTATCAAAGTTCTATTCTATACAACAAAATACCACCTGAGCGAACTGCGAAAACTTTTGGTACTGAATACCGTAATGGAGTCATATGCTGCACATTGAACACCGAGGACCCAGAAATTCCTAGCAATGCTGATGTTTTTCTTCCCTTCAGGTTTCCCTCTTCGTCTAATTCCTCAGGGCCTAATTGGAGAGATCACAATGCCTATTATCTAATGCCGTTTTCTATGAAGAATTTCTCAAACACAAGAAAAGCAAATGGAGGACAGCTTCCAAGGAAGAGTGAACAAAAAAATTCCCATGCACCTTCTCGCTTGATAGGATCATCACAACAAAGAGACACAGGGACAAATCATAGACTTAGTAGTTATGGAATGAAATTTGGGTTGCCTAACAGTAGTATTCAACTGTCGGCACTCAAGAATGCAAGAACTAGTGAAGAACCCAGTCGTAAAAGTTCGGTAAATGACGTCAATCTTGATTATAAATCAGCCGGTCCTTGTTTAGCTAAGCAATTTCATGGTCCAGACATTATTCAAAGATTTCAGAGAAGTATTATTGGCAGTTTGAAGGATTTAGATGCTAAAGTTACAGTTCCAAACAATGGAGTATTAAATGCTGAATCAAGTTCCGTACTGCCGCTAGTCTCACAACCAATTGAAAAGCCTCTACTGTTGAATCAGGAAGAGCCTTATTCTGAGGATGATTTGGACGTGCCCTGCTTTTCTGATGTAGAAGCAATGGTAAAATGTGCAGTCTTATTAGATTGCAACTTTCTATGTGGGTTATCTGTTCTCAACTTTAATTTTCTCCTTGATCACTTCTTGCAGATCCTTGACATGGATTTGAGTCCAGAGAAATTTGATCTACAGTTGAGCCAGGAAGGTATGACTTAATTACTTATTTCTTATTTTCTTGTTAGTGGGCAATAAAGCTGCTGCTGATTGAAAATATTAACATGGTGTGTCAGATATGCAGTCGCACTATATTATACTTGCACTCATTCCTGATTTGGAATGTATACTTAGGCGATTGCATCTTGTAGAGTGATTAATTATGTCTACCAATTCACAGTTAAAATTGTCTACATTGCTTCTAGAGAGCTGAGCGTCCTGAATATTTGGTTATTAAAAGTTGCATGCATTTAAACCTGTGCTGTCTCCTTTTAGCTAAGTTCTAGAATCTTTTTTTTTTCATAGAACTTCTTGTGGTTGCATTTTATAGTTCTTCATTCCCATAGTTGCGTACAGCCTTCCTTGCTTCCTTATTAATTTTAATTTGACAATAGATTCTACTCGCTAATATTGCAGTTCTGTCATACAAACATGATGAAACTAAGAGATCAATCATAAGGCTGGAGCAGACTGCAGATGGTTGTATGCATAGAACCATTGCAGCTCAGGGAGCATTTGCTGTATTATATGGTCGCCACTCGAAGCATTTTATTAAGAAACCTGAGGTATGACACCACATTACTCTCAACCCCCACAACCTTAAACAAAATAATAATAAATAAAATTACGCATGCTGAAAGTAATTAATGACTTTGTTTGTTGCTCAATGGTTGAAGTTATATTCTATGCTATCATTTGTTTGGTATTTATTTGGAAATTCTTAAACGTGTTGCCATTAAGTCTGTACAAAACTTTAACCTGAGATTGGGAAAAATAGTCTAGGCTTAATATCCAAAAAAGTTATGACTGAATTGTGACTTGTTCAAGAAATTCAGTTATTGTACCGTTTCAGTTATGTTAATAACAGAAAGTGCAGTGCACTTGAAATGTTTTGAAGTTTCTGACTAGTGTTCTGGAGGCCTGGCTGGGTTCCAGGCCTAAAGACATGAAAGGTATGCTTGAATGCCTGTATGTGGTGAACTCCTGTAATTTTTTCATCACTCCTGTAATTTTTTCATCGAGGTGCTTCACCTCTAGATCTGTGAGGTGTATGAAGGAAATATTAATAATTTAAGTTTTACTTGCAAATTCTAAGTTTCTAGAGGACAGTCTTACTGCACGTTGGGAGCAACATCAACTATGAGCTGACTGATGTGAACACTAAAGGCTTAAGTAACTTGATTAACCTTTATTTTGGTTAAACAAACAGATATATTGATATACTTAGAAGGTCACGAACTGTCTTAATTCAGGTCATTCATTTGATTATGAAGGCTTGTTATTAAACAGGCAAAGCTCTTATAAGCTCACTTAGCCTATGAACACGTTTTCTATTTCATTTTTTACCTTTTCCATCTATAGAACCTATGCATATAAGCATACGTGTTTTTAACATAGGGAGAACTTACCTTTTGTTTGGAACTACGTATAAGCTTTAGCTATATCCCAGATTGGGTTGATAGCTAAGGTTCAGCTGTCTCAGCTAATTGAATTATTGAGTCTCTGAACAAATATCTGGTGGCATTAGACCCTGAGAGGAAACCATGAGCAGTAAATGCGACGGACCATAGATTTTGTTTGTTCTTTTTTTCCCATTCTCTTTTCGAAAATAAAATTTTATGTTTTCAGGTTTTACTTGGAAGAGCGACTGAAGATTCAAAAGTTGACATTGACTTGGGAAGAGAAAAGAACGGCAGTAAAATTTCTCGGAGGCAGGTTAGTTGAAGTCCCACCATTGTTAATCACGCTTTTTAAAATATTGATTGATTGTGTTCATTTCAATCATTTCTTGTGCACACCACATGGATCCACATAATGCCTTGGGCACTAATGCAAATTAGTTCGCAACAAACATCGAGCACATGTACTAGTTTCTATCTTTGCAAGCAATTGGTTCCTAATGGACCAATACAGGCTATATGAATATTAATGACATTTATAGCATGAATATTACCTATTAAATTATCCTTCAGGAAATTCTGATACTTAGCTTTACAGTATACCTTACTTTCTAGTACTGAAGCCTGAACGCATTTGGTTGGTTTGATTATTGGCTTTATATGTATTTGATTCAACTGGCTTGATAGACAATGGTTACACGTGCCTGTCTAGTTTAAACTCTGTCAGTTGCAAACTATGCCATTCCTGCAAGCTGTTGTTCTTTATTTATTTATTTCCCATTCGTCAGGCCATAATAAAGATGGACATATATGGATCATTCCGCTTGAAGAACATAGGGAAATCGTCCATCAGTGTCAATGGCAATGAAGTTGCATCTACAATGAGTGTAACCCTTACTCCAGGCTGTCTGATTGAGGTATGATTTTATGCTCCATGACAATATTCATACTGGAATAAAATAATTTTTTTTACATTGTCCTTTTATGTTTCCTTTTGGGAGTTGCCTTTTTTACATCATAAGATACATTATTAGAAAGTTGATATAATGCGTTTACCATATTTGGAAGTTTGTGTACATCTGATGCAACTGAGAAATTTTTAGGTAAGGGGATTGGCATTCATATTTGAGACGAATAAAAAGAAAATACAGCAGCATGTGGGAGCAAGTTGTTTGCGGGACTATAAAGCTTTGATCTGACATTGGACGGGTGGAAGATTTTGAGGATCTATGTTGTATACAGAACTTTTAGTTAGATCACGACAAGGTGTGATTTCGTTGCCCATATGATGCTTAACGTCCGACATTTAAGTTAGTAGATGTAGGGAGTATAATGAAGTGAAGATTATATATATATATATAACCTTAGAGAGACCTTAGAGAGATTATGATTACTTTAGGACAGAGACGGTATCGTAGTAGGAGTCTGTTCAACTCAGCATCCTAATTGCAAATTATTGTGCTTCCTTACGGATAAGGATTAAGGATGGTTCAAACTTCGAAGTAGAAGTTGATTAGGACTGGGTAATCCTCAAACGTACTGGATCAATCTTGGACCCATCCACATGGTTAGGATGGTGACTGGGATATTTTGTCATCGGCAAGGCAGAGCACAAAATAATAATTTATACTAGAAAAATGAATTTTCAATGAAAACATTTTCCCCTCGTAAAAAATGGGTTATGCTAAAGAAACAGGGAGGTTGACGGCCTCCCTAACCGAACCTTACAACTAGGGGGGAGGACCCATGTTTTTTGTTGGCCCCACCCCTATTTGTGGGGTTCGATCAAGAAGGTTGTCAGCCTCCTCGTTTCTTTAGCATAACCCTAAAACAATTGGGCTTGGGGCAAGTCATTTCTTTTCGCCCCTGGTCATTGGGTCATGATCCGATCATGGGATGCATAGGTCAGCTTGACCTTGTGAGCCCAAGTTTGGGACGGTATTTCTTTTTCTAGTCCTCGTGTATATTGGGGCAAGGAGTCATAAGCTTATCTCAGGATACACAGGGATGGATCGACGTTTTGGCCTCCTCGATATTATATTATCTTATAACAGGGTAGGCATTTATGTATTAAACCTAGAAGGGATTTTACCTTGGTTTGATTGAAGTATAAATGGCTTAAAGAAAGAGCAAGTGGATCGGTACTTGTCGGAAGAATAGTCGTCATTCTGTCCGGTTGCAAACCTTATCCAACGCATCTTATGTTCACTTAATAATTAATTATACAATTGATAATTGAGAAGAATGTTTAGGAATGTGTTGGATTGATAGATTGAAGAGACTATTGTCTCCTTTTAATCATATCTTACATCTTTTTTCTAATTATATTTAATCTTCTCTACTTTAAGATACTATACACGTAATTATAGCTCAGCTTAAAAATTTCTTCAGGCCGGTGGTGGATCCACCCCTACTTTGCCCTATTCTGCTTCTCTTTCAAAACCTCATTTTTTTACCCTAATCTCACCTATCCAATCCAAAATTTCTACAGCACTGCAACCACCTCCACAAGCACCCAAATTAAGAAAAACATTACACGTAGACCAAACGGCATTTCTCACGTTCAAGCAGTTCTCTCTAATCAAGATTCAAATACACCACTCCTCATATTTCAAGATTTGTTGCAATTTATAAAAGATGAACTAAAAATATATTTTTCTTTTTTCCCTTTTCTTATTATTTAATTATTAGTCTTGCTTACTTGGATGAGAGGGCAAATGAATCTGTTTCTATCAACTTAAGGGGGTTTTTCGACGGATTCCGGCTGCCAATAAATGAAAGGTTGAGGATATAAGTGCTAAGATATAAGGAATAGGGTAATAAGAGTGCAAGGAACTCAAAGGTTGGGACTGATGATGTAATTCACATTTTTATTTTTAAAAAATTTAACATATTAAGCCCTTTTTTATTATTTGAGAATCACTCCGCTCATTTTTAGTCGCACACTCTTCAAAAAAATTATTTTCCATGATTTTTCACTTTTTAACCACACATTCACAAGAAAAATCATGTTTTTTTTCCCAAAAATCACTTCTCAAAAGTTCTTTCTCAAATAAGAGCTAAACTTGTCCTCGCTGATGCTTTTTGAAATAAATTTCTTGAATAATACTTTATGACTTAGTTTTTAAAGACATAGAATTTCTTTTCTTTTCTTTTTTTTCTTTTTTTTCTTTTATTTTTTTTATTTTTTATTTTTTATTTTTTATTTTTTATTTTTGTCTGTGTGCTGTGGTGGGGGTTAATAAAATGTAATGATGCGTTAGGGGGAAATAAAAAGAGTGACGATACCAAAATGACTAGCAATTACAAGTGTTTGAACATAATTACAAATATTCTTATCTGCAGCCTTCTCACAATAAACAAAACAGACCAAATGAAATGAATGAGAAGCACGATATATTCCAATCTTTTTTATCTATTATTCACACTATGATGCCGATATTTCATGTCAATTTTGCCTTATCTTCAATAATAATATTCTAAAATAATGCTAGTTCCGAAAAGTATTATTTGTCTTCTTCTGTTAGTTGCTCTAATTTTCTTGTATATTCAGTTATTTTAGACCAGATTATCTGGTCGACATCCTTGATTGATTAAGGCAATTTGTCCACTCAAGGCTTCCTTAATTCACACATGATAGTCCCAAACTCTTTCAAGTCAAATGTCCCTTTCCTTCAACTAAAACCATATGGTTTTGGAAATATCGAAAATAAGCTATAAGGGTTTTGGTCAATCAATCTTGTTTATTAAACATGCGCATAATCAATCCAAATAATTTAGTAGAGCTCATTTATTATGGGGAATTTGAAATTGTATATTCAAATATGCAATTTGAAAAATGGCCATTTACAATTATATTTGTAAATATTGCCAATTTTAATGGAAATAAATAAAAAATAAAAAATAGAAACTTGTTTAGATACGACCAAATTTTGCAAACCCTAAGAGCAACAACCACCACCAAAAAACATCCTTCCTCCAGAATTTTACGCCACCTTCCACCACCAACATCGCCACTTTATCCTCCACACTATCCCAACTCATCCCTGTAAACCCTTTTACTTAAGAAAAATCTCACTTCCTAATTTAAGCTCTTTTTTGTGAAAGTTAAAATTGGATTTTTAGTAAATTTTAATGAAAGTTTTTGAAATGAATGAGTTGTGGAACCCATGAAATATGTGGTTAAAATAAATTGTTTGACTTTAACTTAGATTAAAATCATATTTAAATTACTACCAAACAAAGCCTAAGCACAAATGTATGCCAATAAGGTCACGCATGATGTAATCAACAAATTATTTTCTATTAAATGTGTCATTAGCTTAAGAATGAAAGCACTAAGTAATTATGATATATTAATTCGATAAAAGATGTGGACCAATTCTTTGTCGACTCAAGCTTTACTCAATCATCATTTTTTGGGCCAATTCTTTCTCTACTCAGACTTTCCTCAATCATCATTTTTTGGTATTTTACGAAATATGAAAGATAAGATATTTGATCTGACGTGAACTGCGAATCTCTATATCATCCAAGGCTTCAATAAATTGTCAAATGGCATTCATTTGTTCAATTTTATAAATTTATTTTATTTTCCTAACTTTAGTCATTACTCAAAAATCTTGAAGCGAAATATATTTGTACTTGGATAACTTGATACATTAACAAAATTTTGGTTCGATCTGACCATAAAGATTGATCAAATATTGAAGACTAACTCGTTATTCAAAAAATAAATTAGAAACCAACTGTACAAATTTTCTGTCTATAGAATTCATAAATTATAGGTGCATAAGGAACAGTACTTGATGGGTGCCCATAAGCTGCACAGTGGGGGAAAATCTAGATTCGTCGATATTTCCCATTCCCTCCTTTTTCTTTTTCTTTTTCTTTTTTGGACAATAATAAAATATAATAGTCTCAAAATTATGAATTCTATATTTTGAGCATCCCATGCTTCCCAGTTGCTGAGAAGGATATATTCCAATACAAATGTATTAAAATATTGTATTATTGACCCCCTTTTTGAGATATTTTTATCTACACAGGACCATGTATTCACTGCTCTTTATTATTATTATTATTATTGGCTAAATTAGGAGTTTTTAAGTATATTTAACAATAGCTGAATTGAGTGGTGAAAAGACTAATTTTTTTGTTATTATTTATTTATGATTTTAGTTATTCTCATGTAGTTTATCAACCTTTTTTTTGGGTACGTGACATCTTAGATATAAATACGTCAGTTGTCAATGAATTGTGTCAAATGTTTTCAATAGCTGTTTAATTAAAAAGGTTTTTGAGACATCACTGAATCTTTCAAAATATTTTTCGATTGCCATTGAACTTTAAAAATTATTCAAATTGCTGTTGAGCTTACCAAATGTTGTCCCATCTGTCACTTAAGTGACATTTAAAAGTTAAAAAGACAGTTGAAATTACAGAAAGTTCATTAAAGTCTTTTAATTTTAAACTGTGAGTGACAAAGTGATGGATTAGATAACATTTCGTAAGTTTAGTGACAATTAGAATAACTTTTAAAGTTCAGTGGTATCTGGGAAATATGTGGGAAGCTCAATGGCAACATGGAAACATTTTAAAATTTAATGAAAATTGAAAAATGTTTTAAAAAGTTTGACAGGAATATTTAACCTTAATATCCTCTATATACTCTAAGAGTTCAAATTGAAGCCGTTGTTTTCTAATTAAATACAATCACTTTAATCATTCTCAGACATCTTTTCCTCCTCAATAATGGAATTAAACAGGAGGCGATGTGGCACCCCATCTAGCCCCTCCCCCCTCCAACGAACAGGGCCAAAAATAAATTTTGTCAATTAATTTGTAAACTGAAATGCATATTAATGCCCTAAATTGACTAAAAATTTTAATCATGCCTAATTATTATGGAAAATAAAATCAAATGGGGTGTTTGTGGTATAATTTTGACAAAGTCTGGTCAACCTTAATACTTGCTGCTAATTTATTTGATGTGAATCAGGCATTCTTTTGGATCCTAGGATTCCTTTTAGCCATGAAACTTTGACTCCCATGATTATCAAGCGCATAACAACAAATTATGTTTTCATTTAAGTAAATGTTCAAATCTTTATTTCAATACATTTCTGATTAGATGATCAATCCAACAAAAAAGAGTGATCAAAGAATTTCATCACTATTCAAAAAATGACTCGAACATTAGGCGCTTGTTAGTTTTTCTTTTCTTC